AAAAAAAAAAAAAAACTCAGATCGCACCACAAAAACCCCAAATCCAGGCACCTTTTAAACAATAAAAAATATCCCAGATCGAAAACAACATAATAAATCCAGCTAACCCAAAAACTAGGAAAGAAGAAGGCAAGGATTATAAATAAATAAATAAATAAATAATATCAGTAACTTTAATTAGAAGAAAGAGGATGTTAATTATTCATACCTATCAATTTGTGAAATCAGGAGGAAAAGGCAAAGGAATGAATTGAAAGGAAAAAAAAAACGAAAATGAAAAATTTAAGGCAAAGATGCTAATTTTGGAGTATTTATATGAAAAAGACGTCAGCTTTGACTTTTTTCTCCGTGTGAAGACCAAATTGTCCTCTATTATCACGAAATTAATGCGTAACTTCCTATTTAGAGTAACGAATTTCATCTAAAAAAAAAAGTGTAATATGTTCGGTATTCGTATTGGGACCGATTAAATATATTTACATTGAAAAGTTTCATATTAAGGGTAAAACGTTTTCTAATAAAAATAATATACACCTAGGGTTCGAATCCGAGACTTTTGATTAATGATAAATGAGTATTTACCGCTCAACTATAACTTTTTGTTGATAAAGTGTAATAGGGTTTCTTGAATTGTATTCAAGCATTGAGAATGAAAATAACTATAGTAAACCGCTTTCTTTTTAATATGTCTTATGCGATATGAATTTGAATTAACCGAATTAATAGATTTCGATTACTGAATAATTATATAATTACAAAATTATAATAACTAACATGTTTCAATTCTAAATATATTTGGATCACTTATAAAAATTCTCGCTAAATATTTTTCAGATACCGAATAATTATACAAAAGAAAGTTCCATATAATTTACTTTAAAATTAGAACTCATGAATTTAAATAAGCACATTAATATATTTTCCTTTTCAAGTTAAAATTTTAGATTTATTTTATTCATGTAGGTGATGAATTCGATTTGGTTGTTATAAAAAATTTAAAAGATTTTGGTATGTAACTAATGTTTTTTCAAATTATATTCACACTGACTAATAGTAACTTTGTTAAGTTCATTAAGTGTATTAAATTTTTTTACCTATTTAACTTTAAAATTCAGATCTAGTTTCTTAAGTTTGTCAATTTTATTTAGTTACTATAATCTTCATCATGAAGAAGATATTGCTTCCAATTTCAATATTTGGTTAGAAGTGCAAGTATTCCAGAGATGAGGATGTTGAGGTGGATGTGCGGGCATACAAGGAAGGATAAGATTAGAAATGAAGANAGACTATATTAAAGCTATGACTATAAGTACTCTACTCTGTACATGATTAAACGTTCCAATTCTCTTACCTGAACTGTTGAAGAAATTCTTGTAAATGAGGCAAGCTTTTTACCCTCCAGACTTGCCGCGACTGATTCACAAAGCTTTTCAGCAATTTCTTCGGCCTGTAAGACATGCATAACACCCGTCAACCAATTATATAATAAGAACTGCTGAGACAAATATGGTCACCAATCAAAGTATTTTGCTCTTTTCTTATCTTTCTCCATCTTTTGGGAGGAGGAAAGAGATAGGAAGGGGACAGGGAAGAGAGAAGCAATTGGCAAACTTACCACATTCTTGGTCATCAGCCTGTCCTTAAGAGCTTTTAAAGCTGGTTCTAAGTCGGCCTTCTCCAAATTAGCCTTTCCTGCGATACTGGAGAAACAACAGCAACACAGGTTATGTCCAACATTTCAACAGTCAAAAATAGAGATCCATTATCTTGAAAGAGAAACTGTATCTGTCAGTCTTTTCCCATCATTCTGGAATATTTTTCAGCTTCTCATATAAAACCCGAACAAATTATAGTACTTCTTTAGTGTCCGCTAAGCAAATTAGACCAATTTCATAGTGATTACGAATGGTGTGAGGACTCTATGATACAAATATCAGCCATTCCGTCGACTAAATTTCCATAAAGATGAACTTTCCTCTTTTTTCACAAACAAGAGGAAAATGATCAAGACTATATAATAAAGTTATCAAGAAAAGAAAGATATAATAATACTGGTAAAACGACTTTTTCCCTTTTCTGAAATCAAGGGAGGATGAGAATTTTACCTCTGGAACATGGATGAGAACCAACCTTTCTTCTTTCCCTCGACCTTGCTGTCTTTCCCTGGCTCCTCATCCTCCTCGGTCTCACTATCACTACTCACAATCTCCTCTTTGTCCATCATACTCTCACCTTGAACTGCTGCCACAACTGCTATATTCTCATTCCCATTCTCACTCATAGGATCCGTGAAATCCAATTTTGACTCGGTAGGTGAATCATCCCAGACTCTGTTCTTCTTTATCTTTTTTGTAGGCTCTGCCTTGGAACCCTTTACAACAGTATCGGTTGCCTTCGAACCCTTTATAACAGTATCAGTTTTCTTCCCACCTTTAGCCCTAAGCTTCTGTAGCTTATTTACATCAAAAGCCCCAGAATCAGAACTTCCATTCTCTTTACCGTTAGCCTGTACTACTCCATTTCCATTACTNGTGAGGACATAGCCCTAAACAGGGAATTGTGGAGATCGAGCATTAAGGTTGTAGGTTAGAAAAATTGTGATGTCTTTTTTACAGCGTACTAGAGTGAGACTAGTCAGTTAGGAGTTAGTCTTAAGATACTATTGATCAACTACTGATGATGGACTTTATCTGCTGTGTATTAATACCTTACATCTTTCTCGTATTTCTTATATCTCTTATATTGCTGTTACTTTGTTTTTATGGTATTTATGTTATGTTATGGATTTAATGGTATTTTATGTTGTTTTATTATGAGTCTATTGATAGTACTAATATAGTGTCTCTTGTTGCCTCTTTGAGCCGAGGGTCTCCTGGAAACAGCCTCTCTGCCCCTCGGGGTGAGGTAAGGTCTGCGTACATATTACCCTCCCCAGACCCCACTTGTGGGATTACACTGGGTTGTTGTTGTTGTTGTTGGTTAGAAGTGCAAGTATTCACTGTAAAGAAATTCTTGATGCATATAAATAGCTGTGATATATCGTTTCTTATAACCTCAAAAATAATTGCTCAATAAACTTTATAAATGAAGAATAATAAGGCGATCCACATGCTCAAGACTAAATGAGCTTACCATTAAAGAATGTGTTGCAGTGGATGAGATTGTTCTTCCCTTAACCAGAGGTCTCGAGTTGCCACCAATCTCTATGTCTACTCTATTTCATTTGGTCAAATAAAATTGTTATTGGATGAGAAAAGAAAAAAGGCTAAGCAGTGGCTAAAAAGAGTATTATCATTATATTTATTTTTATATAAAACATTTATGGCATTAGAAAAAAGAATAAAGTGTACAATGTTTATGTATTGACATGTAAAATACAGTTTTTTTAAAAAAATTCTCCACTGTCAGGGCAAGTGGACATATAGCCATTTTCAGGGATGGTATTTAGAGATTAGCCCGTACTTATTTTGTCCTGAAATTTTAAACTAAAAAATCTTAACTTCAGGACAATTCAGGACACTTTTGTCCCGAAAAATTGAACTGAGAAATAGAGCTGTCAAAACGGGCTAGCCCAGCCCAAGCCTCGTGGGCTTTTAAATTTGGTGGGCTAGGGCGGGCTAGCCCTCCATCTATATGGGCCTTAAAACGGCCAGCCCAACCCAGCCTTAAGAGGGTCGCGGGCTAGGGCGGGTCGGCCCTTCAACTTTTTTAGAAAAATATTTCTTCAAATTTTTAGATATTTTTTCGTGGCATAATCTTTTAATCATATGAACGACTTCTGTTTATTTAGAGTGTACAAGAATCTTGATATTTGATAAGGAATCTCGTAATTGAAATGCAAATTCTCTATATCTCTAGCTCTTCTTTTTTTAAAGTTACATGAATATTTTTTTTTAATACTTTTCTTACACTTTCCTTAGATTCAGGTAGTGCTTCGATAAGTTTATATGTTAAGGTTTTTTAATTTAGGTTTAACATTATTTGTTGATTTCATCATTATAGTCCATGAAATTTTTAAAATTCATGAAATTTGCTAGTGTTTTCCAATTTTCTTTAGGTATTAAAACTTGATATTTTTCTATACTGAAGAGCAATTTAATAATTAATAATATATTAAAGTAACCAAATTGATCATTGGACACTTAAAATAATATTTCTTTTGAAAAAAATTACTATTGGCCACTTAAAACTTTTCTAGTTCGTTGTTAATTAAGCAAAAGAAAAACTAATCTTGTCATACTACATGCATATTAAAAATATAAATTCTAGTTGATATGGAAGGATAAATGAGAATTCTAAGGGTGAAAAATATGGATTATAGTTAATATTTTTTTAGTTTTTACTTTTTTTAAATATTTAAATATGAATTTAATTAATTTTTGGCCCACGGGCTAGCCCAGACCCAGCCTTGGTCAAGCCTCAAGGGCCAGCGAGCTGACTTGGGCCGGGCTTATAAGCCTCAATTTTAAATGGGTTAAAACAATCCCAACCCGGCCCTACCCAAGTAGCGAGCTGGGTTGGGCTGGCCTCACGGGCCAAGCCTATTTTGACAGCTCTACTGAGAAATTTAAATTCAGGACGCATTGGCTAATTCCTAAATAACAACCCATTAGAGTGGCTACCTGGTGTCATTTCTACTATATTTGACAATAAATCTCAAGAAGGAGCACTCAAAGTGATGATTCAAATCTTTGACAACTCTATTCATTGTGAAAGAAATTGAACGTTCAAACCAAATCTTTGAATGCATAATCTTTACTCATAAACTACAATTTAATTAAACATGTATTCATAAGGTTGATGCAAATATACTAACATCGTCTAGAGTACAAAATTGAAACTCAGTGACGGATGATTCTTCACGAGACAATGTCACTGTTTAAATCCTTCGCCGAGGCCTGCTGGCATTCCCAAGCTCTGTGCAAGATCACTCATTCTTTCCTTCATTGCCTGAGACATAAGAGCTTAGTTATATGTTTGAGATGACGATCGAGGACTAATGGACTATTGGTGAACAGAGGCGGATCCAGGATTTGAACTTTATGAGTTCAGATTTGAAATTCTACCATATTTCATCCAATTTAAGATCTATTATTTATACATATCTAATGAGTTTTTCTGACAGATATACAGGTCAGTTGAAACAATGGGTTCAGGTGAACCCACAGCTTCTTTGGTAGATATGCCACTGATGGTGAAGCGTCTCTACCTCCAACTGTTAACCCAAAGGTTCGGGTCACACAGAGTAGATAGAGAACCATTGTTGATTCTCTTTGGGTGGATAAAATGCGCAGTGCAGGGCCTAAGCACCGGCTTAGTGCGAGGTCTAAAAAGGACCGGACCATATTGGGTCTTACGTATGCAGCCTTATCTTGCACGAAAAATATTCCCTACGTTTCATCTTACATGATGGTGTTTTACAAACACAGAATTTAAGAAAGAAAATAGTTTGGAACTTGTGGCCTCTAACATGCGAAGATATTTTTGCAGCTATAAAATTTATGTTACTAAGGGTAAAATGAAAATTTAAAATTTATAGTATCTAAATGAAGATAGGAGTTATTATTTTTGAAACAGACTAAAAAGGAAGGAGTGTCAAACAAAATGAAACGAGGGAGTAAAATGAAAAGGAAGAAGTTTAAGGCTCTTACTAGTACACTTTTCTGATGTGCATCCTTGTATGCCTCTGTAATTAAAAGTGAAAGTTTCTGCACAAGAAAAACATTCAGACTCTTGTGCATATATTGTTATATTGTTATATTCCACATGGCTCCTTGAAAGGGGAAAGTGCCAATGTATAGTGCAACAACAACAACAACAACCCAGTGTAATCCCACAAGTGGGGTCTGGGGAGGGTAGTGAGTACGCAGACCTTACCCCTATCCCGAGGGAGTAGAGCGGGGTAGTAGAGAGGCTGTTTCCGAAAAACGTTTGCTCAAGAAGACCAACTGACAATGTATAGTGCATTCGTGAATAGTTTCATTTGTTCTGACAGAACAAGGGAGTATACAGCAAATGCCACTTGCATAGTTTACTCGCTTAAGGCCAAGTAAAAGCATCTTGATTTTTAGGGAAAAAAATAATGGTTCAATGAAATAGTATGTTAAAGGCCAAGCATGAATAAGTTAAAGAATCTAAGGATCTCAATTGGCACAATAAGCGGAGGTAGCTTCCCGGTAAACTGCAGATAAATTGGTTGCTTAAATCATACAGCAAAAGACGATTAACAATTGAGAATCCATCTCTAAATCACCAAGTATTAAGTACGTAACAGATTTTGACAGGTATAGAAGTAGATAACTCAGATGTTCTATGCAATATATACTCACTTCTGGCCCCAATTCCATGGCAGCCTCTGTAATTTCAGTACGTATAGGTTGCTGATTTCCAGACAGCGTTACCTGCAAATGATGTAAATACGGATAAGTCTCTAATGTTGCTCATAAGAAAATGTTTCCAAGTTATCATTTCTGTCTACATATGTCTATATTAATCATATCCAGAGAGACGAGTGAAAGAGAGGAGAAGACACTAGACAATATAAGAGGTACCGGAAGGACTCTGACATAAAAGATCTAATAATGTTAGCTTGAACTTTTGGCAAGAAATGCTGGCCAAGACTGAGCATTCTATGTCTAAACCCAAAAAACAGACCCAACACTTTAGTTGCCCAGTAAGATCGGCCACCAGACTGCATCTTAATTTCAGGGGCAGCTGAATCAGTATTTCAGTTAGGTCAATTAGAAGTTATCTCTCCAGTTAGATGACACCAAAATAAAACAAGAAAAGAACATACCTTGATTAGTTCACCTTCACAGTAACCATCAAATTCTGCTCTGAAAATACAAACCACCAAAAATAGAATAAGTAGAAAAATGATATACGGTATTCTCATAAAGCATGCTTATAAGAAGGTAAAAACATACTACAAACTGTACTATATAGAAACATACAAAGCGAGCTCTTTTTGCACTCGCACTGCCTCAACTTGAACCACATTTTGTGCCTTCTTCACTGTCTCGTATAAGTTTTGCATGTTTCCCAGAAGACCTGCCTAAGATCAAGATACACAAACTGAGGTTGGTCAAGCAAAATTATACAATACTTTTTACGAGTGAACACCAGGTGAAGCATAAGAAAGATAGAACTACAAGCATGCTTAGGCTGAGGAGCAGCAGCTTATACATTTGATAATGACTGCATTACTTATATAGCTGAACCAAAACATCAAACCCCATTTCCGAAGTGCCCCGTGAAGGTAAAACAATAAACAAATATGCCTCAAATTCATACATGTTGGGTCCATTATACGAATCCTCAATATTCATCCCGCTCTATTAGGACTCAATAATTTGCCTTTTAGCAAAGTAATCACAACTAATGTGCCAAAGCTATAACTAATTTAAATGTAACAACATGACTATGTGTTAATACCACTAGCTGGTACCTCATACATGGATATTAAGCGTCTATTATGTGTTCTTTTCAGCTAACTCAGTGCGACTTCAAGAGAGATTTTTAAAAAACTTGCATTTGACATCCAGGTATTTTTAGAACCATGACACTTCCTATGGACGTGACACTTCTGTGACATACTAACCCATCAAGCGTAGATAAAAAAGGTTAAACGGAAAAACATGTCAAATGAATAAGCATCTTCCCACGTCAAACACCTGAAAATCCAAAAAAAAAAAAGATTATTCCTCTACTTTTTCGTTGATAACAAAGTTGAGTTTGTTGTTTCATTAGATTGTCAACACTTGCACTCATGGTTACCCGAGGTTTGAGGCTAACGAGCTTTAAAACTGAACAGAGACATTTCCTCTGATTTTCTGTCCATGAACAAACCTTACGAATATGTTGGGGTATTTAAGTCTATTCAAGTCCTGAAGAGACTTGAACGAAAATTTCAGCACCCAAGAAAGATATGGTCTTGGATGTCTGAACACCCCTCTGTATTTCATTTTGTTTGTAACCATTAACCAACCCCTTCGTGTTTCATAAATAGACGCTAATCAAGGCTCATCAGCCAGTTCATTGTTAAAAAGTTTTCCTTGAGCCGGAGAACTATCGGAAACAGCCTCTCTACCCTCAAGGTAGGGGTAAGGTCTGCATACACATTACCCTCCCCATACCCCACTTGGGGGATTTTACTGGATTTGGTGTTGTTGTAGTTAGGTCATGGAAGGGTCAACTATTGCCAACCCTAGGGGCCACTTCAAATCACGATAATTTGAACAAAGAGAAATGAATTCAAGGCTCTCCGTCCACCTTTGTATCATGTAATCCATTACCCATTATCAAGGGTAATAATGACGTGAACAAGAATTGAAATCATTCTTTCCCAAGGAATTTCTTTAAACTTGCTAAATATTTTTGAAATTAGAACTCCCAAACAATGCCACTAACAAAAGCTTGGTGTTTAAGCA